GGAGGCAGCGCTGGGCGGGCAGTAGCCAGTGCGGGGAGGCGAGACGATAGCCGACTTCTTCAAGGGCTCCCGGTACAACCGGAAGGGCTGGCGAGCGCGTGACGGATTTCGTAGCGAGTTTGGAGAAGGCGTCCAGGGGATCGAGGACGATGGAGCGCGGTTTGTGGACCAGGACGACATCCCGGGCTGGTGGTTCCTCGAGAAGTGCTGTCTCTCGCCCGAGCGGCGGGAGCGAGTGGTGGCGGCTCTCCCAGATGACAAGTACTCGCACAGAGACCTGAAGACGATCGTGGTCAGAATCTTCCCCGATCTAAACATGACGGAGGGCAGACGGACGCCACGTCCTGCGCGGTCGCAGCAGCGAGGCCAGAACCGGCGGTTCGGGCAGCGGCGGGCAGGTCCTGCAGGCTCTGGCACGCCCGCGCGGGGCGTGAATGCGACGGAGCTCGAGGGCCACGCGGAGGGCCCCGGGGACGAGCAGCAGCAGGACGACGACTACGGCGACGGCCCTGAGGAGCACGAGTGCGAGGTCAACGGGGTCGAGGTCTCGGAGACCCAGGGGCTCGCGCGCCAGGAGCTGGAGGCGCTCGCGACGGAGCTCGAGGAAAGCCCGCTGGGCCTTCCGCCCGAGGACCCTGCAGCGTTGGAGGAGGCGGCGCTCCAGGTGTCGCAGTTCACCGAGGCGCTAGAGGTCATCGGGGACGCGCGGGGACGCATCCAGGGTCGTGTTGGATGCGGCGGCAAGGTGAAAAGTAAGGGCCGCGGCAAGTCAGGCGGGCGCTCAACCTCCGGTGCCGGGCGCGGCGTGCCCCAGCCCGTGAGGGGCAAGGAGCTCGCGGAGAAGCTGGGGCAGAGGAAGCTCAAGTCGACCTGCAAGGCTTGCGGACAGCCAGGGCGCTGGGCAAGTGATCCAGAATGCAAGGCCCCGCGCGCTACAATGATCACGGCAGCAGGCGACGACTCGGACTCGGCCCACGACGCGCTGTCCGTCGAGCATGTGATGGCCGACAAGGCCGATGCGAAGGAGGTGTTGAGGAACGAGCTGATCAAGAGGGTAAAGGGCCACCTCCGATGGGGGGTGGTGGGCACGGCTTGCGTCATATCGGTGATGGGCAATGTCTGATGGGGGGCCTACACGGAGGCGTTGGCGGAGCTGGGCGCCAGCTACCTCGTCGAGCGCGAGGAGATCACCGACAAGTTCAGGTTCGGTGACGGCGGCGCGCTGATGTCCTACGAGGCGTTCCGCTTCCCAGCGGCGGTCGCGGGAGTGCCCGTTATGGTGCGCTCCTGCGTGGTGAAGAGCGACAAGCTGGGCCTGCTGTTGGGGCTTGATTTCCTGGAGGCGATCGGCGCAGGCATCGACTTGGCGAGGCGCAAACTCACGGTGGGCTCAGGGTCGCAGCCGTTGCAAGATTCGGAGAATCGCCACTTCGCGCTGAAACTCAAGCCCGAGAAATATCGCGCCCTGTCGGAGGTCTACGCGGGCCGAGAGGAGCTCTCGCCCAAGCTCGGCCATCGAGCTAGGCCATCACCGCCTCCTCGTGGAGGCATGGGCGCACTGGTGCTGAAAGTGTTCGCCATCGCGGCGACCGCGTGCTGTTCGGAGGCCAAGGTCAGCAAGGCGATCGGCGACGAGCCCAAGGGTCAGGACAAGACGAACGACAGCACCACTGTAGGGAACGTGACCAACACCACCTGGACTCTGACTACGGACCACATCACATCGGAGGACATACCTACTTGGGGTGTCGCGCGTGGTGCCTGCTCGGCCTGCTGCGTGACTGGGGCACTCTGCGAGTGCCAGGTGTGCCGCATGGGAACTGCCCGTCTTGCCTTCGAGGGTTGCAGTGCTCGAGGTGCTATCACGGCGTGAGTGATCACAAGGCGGGAGTAGGCAGCGGCGCGGACTTCGCGGTGCAACACCAATCATGGAGGAGACTCCGCAATGGCACCGTCGCGCAGAACAAGGCCGGGCTGAGACAATCAAACGCGCTGCACCAACCTGGAGTTCGAACCGCGTACGTGAAGAAGATGGTTCAGACACAGCAGAACGACGCAACGGTCTCTACTGCTTCTAGAGGGGCGCGAAGGACAAGGAAGAGGACTCCAGGTACCCTAGTCAAGTACTGCTGTGAGCCGAGCAGCCTCGTGTCGGAGCTCTGGCAGGCCCAAGGAGGGGTTGCACGCCGCCTTGGATATCCCGAGGGCGACCTTCGAGTCCGACGTCGCGCGGCTAAGGCTGGCGATAGCAGGCAGCGCGGTCCCGAGCTGGGCGCGCCGACGTTCTCTGGGGCTGTCTGCCCTGCAGTCTCTGGACTGCGCTACAGAATTTCACGTGGAACGACACCCAGTTGGCGGTCGACCGCGCGGAGAGCAGGCGCATGACCAAGTTATTTACCAACGAGGCTCAGCGCGCGCTGGAGGTCGGCGCGATCGTTGAGTTCGAGTGGCCCGTCAACTGCCGCGGGTGGAGGCAGCCCGAGGTCCCGGAGCTCAGGGGAATCTTGCCGTGCGAGCGCCCGTTCGATGGATACGCCTACGGCCTCATGGGCGACAGGACTGGCAAGACTATCAAGAAGCCCTGGAAGGTGATCACCCACCATCAGCCGCTGCAGATGTTCTTGAACCGAAAGTGCTCCCAGAACCATGAGCACCTCCAAGGAGGAGAGTTCAAACGGAGGGCGTCCAAGAAGACGGGCCCCTACACCAAGGGGCTGCGCGGGGCCGCGATCAAGGGCTTCATGAGGGGCATCGCCGACGTCAACTACGCGCTTGTCGCGCTGCTCAGCGACGACGAGAAGGAGGGCACGAAGGAGGATCCTCAGGGTATACTGGCTAGCCTGGAGCCTGTGCAGCGTCTTACTCTCACGAGGGCTGCGGCTAAGATACACACCGACCTTGGACATCCAGGCTATCGGGCTCTCGCGCGTGCCATTCGACTTGCAGGCGGCTCGAAGTATGCGATAGCAGCGGCGCTCGTGCATCATTGCCCCGCATTCATCAAGCTAGCGGCCCCGCCATCGACAGCGGCATCATCATTGCGAGATCGCTTGAGGGAGTTCGGCGACTGCCTGGCCATCGATGCCTTCGAGCTGGCCGACGCCCAGGGCACCAGCGTGGCGTTCCTCAACCAGATCGCCATGACCTCCAAGTGCCAGATCGTTGTCCCGGTCACTTCCCGCAAGCAGACAGTGATCTGGCAGGCCGTGCTCGACTCCTGGCTGCTCGCGCTCGGCGTTCCGAACCTCGCGATGGCGGACGTGGGAGGCGAGTTCGAGCGCGAAGTCAAGGAGGAGCTGGAGACCATGGGCTCGAGGATAGGTCTCGAGCGCACCCTGCAGCCCGACGCAGAACGCCATCAGCGAGAGCATTGGCCAAACCTGGACGGCGCACGCTCGCGCCTCGAACTCGGAAATGTTCCTCACCTTCAGGAAGGCAGACCAGGTCAAATGGCTCACGGCGGCGATCAACTATGCGGTGAACTCGGCAGACAACCTGTCGGGGTACTCACCGCCCCAGTGCGTCCGGGGCCGGGGTATCAAACTTCCGCGCCAGCTCCCCAGCCAGCACAGCAACCTCAGGTTGCACCAGCGGATGCTAGACGAAGACGAGCCGAGCTTCAGGCAACGCGTCGGACTGCTCAGCGCGGCAAAGCGCTCGGTGGCCGCGCCGGCGGCCAACCGCAAGATCCGCGAGGCATTCCTCGCCGAGGGCAGAGCTGCAGCTGCGGCGCCGGCGGCTTCGACGTACCAGATCGGCGACCAGGTGCACTACTGGAGAGGACTGGGTAAAGCTCGTGCCAAGAAGCACTGGGCAGCGCGCTGGCACGGACCAGCGGCGGTCATCGGGCATGAATCCAACAACCTGTGGCTGGCGCACCGCAACCTCACCATCAAGGCATACCAGAGCCGTGGAGGCGTCGGAGCTGGTCGACTGGAAGGATGCATTCGAGCGCGCGGAGCGAGCAGGCCTGCCGCCCCAAGACCATCCAGGTGGTCACCGCCGGGGCCAGGCGGCCAGGCCCCGATGGAGGTCGACGACGAGACGCCGCAGGTCGCCGACCCACCTCCCACCGACGTCGGCCACGACCATGCCTACTTGGACATGCACGCTCGCGCGCCCATGGACGTGGAGCAGCATTCCGCCGCTGGAGGACCTCAAGATGCTGAGGATGTTCCCTGTTCCCTACGTTCCGCCTGCCAGCAGAAGACCCCGCCCGATGATTAACCGGGAAGAGAAGCTGGCAGGTGGAGATCCCACGTCATTTCCGCAGCTCATGTTGGAAGGACCCATGTACTCCCAAGAACCCCCTGAACAAGTACCTGCGCTCCCTGAGCGGCCTACTGAACCGCCCGGACATCCCGAGGAGGAGACGCCTCCTCTACTGCCTGAGGAACCCCAAGACGCCCCGCGTCCTCCTTATGCTTCAGACCCTCCTCTTCCTTATGAGCACGAGAATGAGGGCGCGCCGCGGGTGCAAAATATGGAGGGCCCCGTGTTTCAAGGAGATCGCAGCGAGGATGAGGAAGTGCCGCATCAAGAGGTTGAGTATCACGACCCCGAGGAGTTGGAGAAGGACGCCGATAATGCCGACGAGTTTTGCGACGTTGAGGGGGACCTACCACGGCGCGCAGGAGCCCAGGATCAAGGAGGTGCGGCATCGAGTTCGGGGCCCACATCATATGCTACGCCACGCAGGCCAGCGCGCACGGCCCCGAGACAGACACGCGACCACCTCGACGACGTCCCCATCCCCATCAGGAGGACCCTGGAGCAACGCCGAAGGCAGAGCGAGGTGAAGTACGAGAACATGAGAGGACAGCCGGGACAGCCAAGAGAAAAACAAGCACGGCATGCATTGGTCCTTCAGGCCGAGGGAGTTCGAGGATGCTATTTGAGCAAGGCTGCGAGGTCCAAGGAGGTCGACTTGGGCGCCATCTCAGGCGAAGATATCAGGGAGACACGTGGGAGAGGTGGATAGCTTTCGGAGCTGCGCGCAGGTGTCCTGACCGCGAGCTCAAGCAGCATCTCGCCAACGGCGCCAAGGTCGCGGGCGCGCGCTGGGTGGTCGCGCTGAGGCAGACCAAGTGGTCCAAGTACAAGTCTCGACTGGTAGCGCCGGGCTGCCGGAAGCGGTCCACCTACAACGGGAACGACGCCTGCCGGCTCAGTGGATGCACTGATGGCCACCCTCGGGTTCATGGCGCATTTGGTTTGGACAGCGTGCTCCTACGGCGCGAAGTCGGCCTGCCTCCAGGCAGAGGGCGTCGGCGGGCTGCCATTTTATCAGGATGCCCAAGGGGCGCCCCGCGGACCCGGGCAAGGCGTTCTACGCGCAGGGCGCAATCTACGGTAACAAGGACGCGGGGCGCGCCCGGCATGAGCATCTGAAGGCCAACCTCGAAAAGACGCATATATACGAATCCAAGCTGGAGAGCGGGGTTGAAGATTGCTACGACGGGGAGCTCCAGATGGCAATGCGCAGCCACGCTGACGACTTGCCGGTTGCCGGGAAGGCCGCAAACCCCACGGCCCACAAGATACTGGGAGAGATGGCTGAGTTTCTGGATCTGGAGAGACGCGACGGAGCATTGGGATACTGCCGAGTACATATCAGGCACGGCGAGGCAGGGATCTACGTCGCGCAGGCGGTGAAGGCCGCGGAGTATATCCCCATCGCCCCGGACAGGAAGAAGGTTCCAGACGGGCGCGCAACCATGGAGGAGCTGAGCATGTTTCGCAGCGCGAAAGGTCAACTACAGTGGCTGGCGCATCGCTCGAGGCCCGACATAGCTTTTGAGCAGACCAGGCTTGCGCAGAGGACGTCAGAACTGAGGGTGCAGGACCTCCTCGACGCCAACAAGCTCGTGGACTACGTCAAGCAAAACATCGAGCGCGGCCTGCACTTCCGCAGGGGCGTCGTGGACATCAGCACAGCGTGCGTCCTGGCCTACGGTGGTTCCTCGTTCGCGAGCATGCCCGGTAAGCAGAGCCAGGCTGGAGCAACGCTATGCCTCACCAGCGCTCCTAGAGAAGTTGTGGACGGCCGGTATAACGAGCAGGTGACCTTGGCGTGGGCAAGCTTCCGAGTCAAGCGAGTTGTGGGACCCGCGCTAGCTGCGGAAGCGTGCGGCATCAGCGAGGCCTTGGAGCATGGCCAGTTTCTACGACCGTCTCTGCAGGAATTATACATACGAGCCAACACCAAGCTCAAGGATGTTGAGAGACGATGTGCATCAAGGCCGATTCGGGCCGTCTCGGACAGCGACAATCTGAAGGTCATTGTGAATAAGGAAGATGGTTCAGTTGCGGACAAAAGACTACGCATGGTGGTTTCCATGCTTCGTGAGAGTGGTGAGGCACAAGGGAATACTACACTGATTTGGATGAAGACTGAAGCAATGGTAGCTGACGGCCTGACTAAGAGTTTGGCGTGCATTGCGATGTTGATTGCCTTCTTTGCTTCCAAGAAATTCGACATTCCACCTCTGCAGAGGAAACGACAGGCTGCGAAGCCAACAACAGTCCTGATTTCATCGACAAGAAGATCGACCACGAGGGGATCGGGCACCACACTGAGGAGATCAACCGCGAGTTGATCGGGTGCCATGTGTGGCAGATCAACCGCGAGAAGATCGGGTACCACGTGTGGCAGATCAACCGCGAATGAATCGGGTACCACACCAGGAGGAACATCAAGGTTGACATACCCAGCGGTGAGCAAGACGAGTCCAAGCCCCGGTTTTCGCACTGCCACGCTGATATCATCCATGGCCGCGGCAAGGCCAACATCTACTATGCCACCTACTGAGGAATATGACAATACAGTGATCTACATTACGCTGGCCATCCTGTTCGTGATGACTATGGCCGTGATTTACCTCATGTGGCAGATGAGGGAGATCATATTATCAATCCGACAATGCCAGGAGATCGAGAGAATGCCGCGGCTGATTCATGAAGACAATGATCGCACTCGAGGCTCGACTCCGACGACGGCGACAGGCACCACTACGAAAACGAGGACGCCCAAGAAGGTTGAACGTGAGGAGCCCGAGCCCATGGATATCGAGAGCGACAGTGCCATATTCGGAGAGGAACCTGTCCAGATCACGAGGCAGAGAACGGCCAAGACGGTGAAGGCGATTGACGATGAAACTGTACGTGACCCAAGGAGTCGCCCAGCCAGAAAGGTGGATATTAAGACGGTACCACAGGACTTTGACTTCGTGGGCATCAAGACGAAACTGCTGAAGGCCGGTCTCGAGGACATTCCCGTGGTGACCATGGTGTCGGAAAGCGTGATGAAGCACTACAGTCCCGAGGGCAGGCAGATCACTAAGGATGAAGCGAACATGATTGCCAGTGGCATTGGCTACTACGTGGACCCTGAGTCCATTGACGGACGGTTGAGGATGCGAGGAGCGTCCTGCAGCGTGGAGAATGGTAAGGCCACGTTGGCAGCCTCAGTGAGTTGAGTTTCCTTTTTTTCATATTTGAGTATGCTCTTGGCGAGCGGTTCGATTTCATGAAGATATTACATGTTTCCATGTTGCAGCGAGCGGCTTGGTCGATGATTGCTGGTGTTTGCACCTTCGAGCTCCAGATGACATCTGGCAGGACGAAGGAACTGACGGAGCGCGTGCGTTCCTACCATCTCCCATCCTCCGCCCGACGCGTACGTCCTCTTTGAATTCCTGAGACCTCCTGAGACGTTGGCGGAGGGGCCTATATATATATATATATATATATATATATATATATATATTACCAGCCCAAAGGGGCTGCATCTTTTTATACTGCCCCGCCAAGGGCCATGTGACTGACGAGGCACCTCAAGAGAGCCTTCTGGAGGTCCACTGCCCGCCGCCGCCGTTTGGCTCTGCGGGCCCTGCAGGGCCCTTGACCAATTTACGGTCTTCCGCCCGGCGGGCGGCTGATGCGAGCTCTGGTGCTGCGCGCTGGAAAATGAAAAGCATCCTGTTCGCTTTGCGACTCCGCCAGGGGGGGCCGGGAGAGGTGGAGGACAAAGAGAATCTTGCCTCTCCGCCCAGAGCGCGTTGAAGGTGGAGCAGAACAGGTGGCCCAGAACACCCCCGACGGCCATGGCGACTGGCACGAGAGCGTCCTGGTCAGGCCATGGCGGGAGGGGCAGAGCAGGAAAAAGACAGTTGGGAGGCGAAGACGGAGGGAAGTGGCAGGAGGCTGGGACAAGAGGGAGGGGGGGAGCGGTAGGCGAGCCAGCTCGGACGCAGATGGCCAACCGACCCACAAGGGTAGAGGCCACCCGCACCGCCAGGCAGGCAAATACCGACAACCCCCAACCAGCCGTCGACACCTGGCAAGTCCTCTCAAGAACTCGACAAGCGGCCCCGGCCGTCAGTGGGCACCAGGCCACGCCAGTGGTTGGGTGCAGCCCACGGCTGAAGCGGCTGAGAGTGAAACGAGCAGTATCCAGCGTACGCTCAACATCCCTGGGGGCGAGGCTGTGTATGAGAACACAGACGACTGCTGCTGGAATGTTGTGGGACATTCCGCTGCAGGGCTGTTGTCCCACTGGGTAGGATGATTGCTTCCCCGAACCCCAACCAAATTCACCACCCACCCCCATCAAGGGGAAGAGGGAGGGGGGGCGGAGGGAGGGGGAGCGGAGTGGAAGTGGAGGGAGAGGGGGCGGCGGCAGGGAGGGAAGGGGGACGGATGGGGGAGGGGTGGCGAGGGAGGACGAGGAGGCGGAGGGTAACGAGGCTGAGCGGTGGGAGGGAGGAATGCAGGAGGCAGGGAGCGCAGAAAAGGTCTGGCAGGCAGCGGACAGCGATTTCGCCATCAAGCGTGGCGGGTCTGATGAGGGCGCCGCGGCGAGGCAGACGCCCCAGGGCGCGCCCAAGTTGACCACGGAGGCCCGCAGGAGCCCCTCCCCCCGAACCACCCCAAAAGAACCCCCAGAGTCTCAAAGGCCTCCGGAACACGACCCAAGCGCAGTGGCGGCGCAAAACCGAGTGCCATCCGATTCTCGCACTTGATCGAAGGATTCCGCGACTGCGGGTGGAGCACTTGTAACACATTATCCCGGCAAAGCAACCTAGCAGCGATGTGTAGGAGCATATCTGGAAGCATTCCCCTTAAGATTCAGATGAGAATCCAGTTGTAGAATTCTGCTGTTCTCGCAGTCGTAGTCGCATTCGCGATGACAGTCGCAGTGGCAACGGCAGTCGCAGTCACAGCCTCAGCCTCAGCCTGCCTCAGCCTCAGCCTCAGCCTGCCTCAGCCTCAGCCTGCCTCAGCCTCAGCCTCAGCCTGCTTCAGCCTCAGCCTCAGTCTGCCTTCAGCCTCGGCCTCAGCCTCAGCCTGCCTCAGCCTCAGCCTGCATCAGCCTCAGCCTCAGCCTCAGCCTGCCTCAGCATCAGCCTGCCTCAGCCTCAGCCTCAGCCTGCCTCAGCCTCAGCCTCAGCCTGCTTCAGCCTCAGCCTCAGTCTGCCTTCAGCCTCGGCCTCAGCCTCAGCCTGCCTCAGCCTCAGCCTGCATCAGCCTCAGCCTCAGCCTCAGCCTGCCTCAGCATCAGCCTGCCTCAGCCTCAGCCTCAGCCTGCCTCAGCCTCAGCCTCAGCCTGCTTCAGCCTCAGCCTCAGTCTGCCTTCAGCCTCGGCCTCAGCCTCAGCCTGCCTCAGCCTCAGCCAGCCTGCCTCAGCCTCAGCCTCAGCCTGCCTCAGCCTCAGCCTCAGCCTCAGCCTCAGCCTCAGCCAGCCTCAGTCTGCCTCAGCCTCGGCCTCAGCCTCAGCCTGCCTCAGCCTCAGCCTGCATCAGCCTCAGCCTCAGCCTCAGCCTGCCTCAGCATCAGCCTCAGCCTCAGCCTCAGCCTGCCTCAGCCTCAGCCTCAGCCTGCTTCAGCCTCAGCCTCAGTCTGCCTTCAGCCTCGGCCTCAGCCTCAGCCTGCCTCAGCCTCAGCCTGCATCCTCAGCCTCAGCCTGCAGCCTCAGCCTGCCTCAGCCTCAGCCTCAGCCTCAGCCTCAGCCTCAGCCTCAGCCTCAGCCTCAGCCTCAGCCTCAGCCTCAGCTCAGCCTCAGCCTCAGCCTCAGCCTCAGCCTCAGCCTCAGCCTTCAGCCTCGGCCTCAGCCAGCCTGCCTCAGCCTCAGCCTCAGCCTCAGCCTCAGCCTGCCTCAGCCTCAGCCTCAGCCTCAGCCTGCCTCAGCCTCAGCCTGCCAGCCTCAGCCTCAGCAGCCTCAGCCTCAGCCTCAGCCTCAGCCTCAGCCTCAGCCTCAGCCTGCCTCAGCCAGCCTGCCTCAGCCTCAGCCTCAGCCTCAGCCTCAGCCTCAGCCTCAGCCTGCTTCAGCCTCAGCCTCAGTCCTTCAGCCTCAGCCTCAGCCAGCCTCAGCCTGCATCAGCCTGCCTCAGCCTCAGCCTGCCTCAGCCTCAGCCTCAGCCTGCCTCAGCCTCAGCCTGCCTCAGCCTCAGCCTCAGCCTCAGCCTGCTTCAGCCTCAGCCTGTCTGCCTTCAGCCTCGGCCTCGGCCTCGGCCTCAGCCTGCCTCAGCCTCAGCCTGCCTCAGCCTCAGCATCCGCCTGCCTCAGCATTCAAAATGTTGCCCGGGAATGGAGTTCTGGGAACTCGAAGAAAACGAAGTGGCCTACAGTTGGCCCCGGGCATTCAAAATCATGCCCGGAAATGGAGTTCTGGGAACTCGAAGACCACGAAGTGGCGGCCTACAGTTGGCTCCGGGCATTCAAAATCATGCCCAGGAATGGACTTCTGGGAACTCGAAGAACACGAAGTGGCCTACAGTTGGCTCTGGGCATTCTAAATCATGCCCAGGAGTGGACTTCTGGGAACTCGAAGAACACGAAGTGGCCTACAGTTGGCTCCGGGCATTCAAATTCATGCCCAGGAATGGAGTTCTGGGGACTCGAAGACCACGAAGTGCGTTACTGTTTGCTAAAAAAGGAGTCCCCGGTTTCCCGGGGGGGTCCCGGGGCAGCCTGTCTGGATACCGCCCAGACCCCCCTCGGGAGTCATGATGCTCTCTTTTGACCCTACTAAACCTATCAGTCTTCGCTGTTAGGTAAAAACCGCTCGGTCCAAGAATGGTTCATTGGTAAGTGGCCCAAGTGCGCCTGAGGGGAGTTTCTCCGCATCGCTCGATTAGTAGAAGGCATCGCAACCAACCGAAACAGTACACCGAGGGGGGAAGAAAAACGTGTCTTTCGCCGCAGGGGGCGCTGTTCCAGAGAGAGAGAGAGAGAGAGAGAGAC